GAGTGTGTATTGGTTGAAAGATAAACTACAGTGGATTGTATGAAAGAAAGTTGGATGTCCGGATGTTTGGACAGCCTAATGATATCACCGGCCGCCTGCAAATATAATGCTTGTCTTCCCACTTTGTTTACAATTAGCGCAACGATGTAACACAGCAATTTGCCCCCCCCACCCCCCGTTAAGGATGCACATAGTGACACTCAATGACACACTGTCTCGTACTAGACACCACACCCACTCTACTGGTGTGCGTTAAACGATTTTTCACCTCAACAGCGGTGTTCGAGAGCACAGAATGTTCCCTTAACTGCAAATGGGGGATTTACCAAATCTATTGTTTTTGTATGAAGATAATCTTGATTGATAACCGTCTTCATCTTCGAAACAAGGCTGTGTAGCTGAATGTATCATATTCATAATCTGTTTGAATGCACGAGCTAAGAGAGTATATGGGAAATTAGATGTCTCTCATAGTCGCCTGACTCAGTGTATCGTGAACCTTAAACCAGTTAGAAAATGAATATTTAAACAAATTGTGCACGACACTTACAGAGAGCGTTTGTGATGGTGACCAAAATATCAGTCCTTGAAACGTTTTCCAAGCCGACTATCTTACCAAGGCGCGTTTTGTCTGCGCAGATCCTGCCAACTCATCGACTGCTTCTTTGACCACAGGATTCTGTGTTTTCTGTTAGCCTAGCCTCTCTCTCTCTATTCTTCATACGTTTAAACGTTAGCACACACGTGTGCTCACGTGACCATGGTCGAAACTCAGTTCTATCCTGTCATGTGACAGACAGCCCCATTCCTATTTGTCCCACGAGTGATTCAAAGTGATTCTGACAATCTGTTCATCCACCAGAGACCAGTGTATGATTTGAGGTTTTTATCTTCATTTTTTATTCACTGTACAAGTGAACAGTACTGTTTTTTATGAGACATTCTCAATTTGTTCTCATTTTCGACTTGGAGCTTGTTAAGAACGAGTGCACAACTTGTGTTCCTGTCGAGATACAGACTACGTGTTTTCGAGCCGAGATAGGACGACGCCATTCGTTCTGAGTACCTGAAACGTCAAAACCGTGTCATCACAATACAGAGTGAAACCAACTTTCTCACATTGTCTCCTTAGCTGTGCACAAATAATCATGGACAAGTTTGAGTACAATAATGACAAGTCTTGAAACACTTAAAGATTCAATCACTTTAAATGTATAGAGGAAGTAATGGAATTGATATCTAGAAGAATCCAATGTGGTCAACAACAATGTAATTGATCACAAATCTATAGACTGGATGCCTGGTGGTTTACAGATTTCTACTTCTTACAGTGAATCGCCATGGCCTCAACACACGGTAACATTAGCAACGACAATACTTGTTTTGGAAGGGCTTACATTTCACAGTGCCTCAAAAGGGTCTCCGAAGCTAACTTTCTCAGGATTGGTTAGTTCGATGTGCTTGCAACCGGAAGTGCTCTGCGGAAGTTAAACGCTCACTGGTATGCTTCGCCACTTCACTAACTAGTTTTATACAAGAAGGAGAATGACCTCTGGCTCCTATTAGGGCAAATCAGATATACATGAGATTTTTGGGTCTTCAGGCTTATCATTGTTCCGATCAAAGTGTCTCGTAGATGTTTGTACACAACTGAGGGCGGTAAAATAAATCATTCAACCTGTTCTATGAAGATATTTGTTGTTGCAGTTCTGAACATTTTCAATAATCGGGTGGCATAAAGCGTGTGCTTGTTTGTTTACGTTCCCTTCAGAATTGATAAACACAAGGATCTGTGAATTTTTTTATTAGTTTTATCTGGTTCTCACTCTCCGGAATTGCATTCATTCCCCATATTATTGGTCTACATGCGAATTGAACCAGAACACGTGTAAAGTGGTAGTATATAGCTCGAACTAACCGAACCATGCCCCCTTCAAACATTCAAGCTAAACACTGTTAGACAGAATGGCCGAACAACAACCTACGCATACCGGAAGTTCGCTATAACAACCGTGTGTGTGTGTGCAAGCGAAACGGAGTCATCTTTTTATTGATGGTTGCCGTGTGTAGCGTTAGTGACCGTGAAATTGACAAATGTGGTTACCAAATGCAGCTTCCAATCTGGTGCTCACGTTGAGAAGGAGGACGAGGAGGCCAGAACGCGACCAAGTAACTATGTTTCAGACAGTCACGTGAAACTCGGCATAGACGGTCATTTAGTTTGGCCCGATACGGATAGCTCACAGAATGTTCTGTGAAGAGAATATCGGACAGTTTCGTTTGCTCTCAATGTGGTTAAAAGGATGACAGTCTTACCATGCTGATATTGCTCTTAATCATTAGTACTTTCTTCTTGGTGATATTGTAGGCAGTCTCTTTTCGGAACTGAAAGAGTAATACGTTACCTTCTTACTTCTAAGTCTTTTCCGGGTTTCGAGAAGTTTACAATTTGCATCTGACGTATAGTTACTTGTGAGTAGTGGTGTGGGATACATCAATGTCATTGATTTTGATTGAATCTTAATCAACCTTCACCTTCACAAAGAATTCTCAATTGAATTAATCATATACTCCGGTGAATGTGTAGAGCATTTTCCTTCTCTGTTTGGAATCTCAGCTCCAGTAGACACGTGTATAAAAGTTGGGTATGTGTGGGTGTGTTATAACCATGTGAGGCCAGTTCAGTTTAAGGATGATCGGAACTATCTATGGTTATTCACTAACAGCCAATCAGTCGATTTGGCCGGACAACAAACGAGAGTGAAACCCGAGCTGGATGCCTGTAAATCGTAGGATTGACCCATCATCATCATCATCGTCATCGTACAGCGAAATACCGTGAAGCGAACTTCACTGACCGCTACCAAACTCACAATGCATACAAGGTCAGTGGTAAAACTTAAGGTGGACAGGGGTTGGATTTATTTTGAGGCAGGGAGAAGATGAGCCACTATGGTCAACATACAGAGTATGCAATCGAACTCTGCATACATACCGTTTGAAGCATTCTGACCTGATAAGAAAAGACAACAAGAACGCCACTGCTGCCGGTTTGCTACCGTATCCTTCAGTGTATCCAACCAACTAGTTGTGGAGTCTTTCGGACCTCAACCTGTAAGGCGAGAGACACCTACCTCTACCTAATGGTTCTGTGCATTTCTTCATGCCTCGTCTCCACGTCATCTGTTGACCTCCGCGTGGTTTCCTCCAGCCCGGATTAGCTACAGCGAATAAAGCGCGGTGCGGCAGACGATGGCTGGGTATACGCAATACGTGCCCTAGCCACCGAAGTAATCTGAATTCGGTATGCTAGCAGGTTTATGCCTGACAGACTCCCAAACATACGACGGATTACCTCCACGTTACTAATCAGTTTGCTCCATCCAACATGGGCTAAACTGCGTAAACACCGATAATCGAAAACTTCTACTCGCAAATTCAGGGTCTCACAACCATAAAGCAGGACTNCAATATACACGACCTTTCAACTTCATTGAAACGTCACGTCTACGCCAAAGGTGTTTCAGTCCTACGTATGCTGCTCGAGCCTTGGAAATGCGGGCGGTTGTCTCCTTTGTTACACTACCGTCATTGCTCAAGCAACCGCCTAAGTAGGAAAAGTAATCCAAGACAACTAAATCCTGGCCATTTAGTGTCAGAGTGGGAGTAGACGAAACCCAGTCCCGCAGCAGCACTTGGCATTTTGAAGGTGTAAAGCACATACCGAATGTGGCCACTGCACTTGTTAATCTATCAAGTGCACTTTGCGCGTCCTCCATACATTCGAACGGACAGACGATATCATCAGCGTACTCCAAATCGCATAGCTTTTACGGTTGACTACCTGTGTATGAAGTGTGAAGGTTACTCAATCCAAATGTACAATTTCAAATTCCCCAAGCAATTGCTACCGTGCTTGATACATCACAGTCTCAGAGGCTAGGTTGATAAAAGGTATCCAGACTAATCCGTCTCGAAACATCTCAGGGCAACATCGTTCACCATTCATTTTGTTCAGGCCATTGCTACGTAACACAAATCCCAGGCTTTTCGCATTCACAGAAGAGACAATACAAATAAAGTTACGTCGTCCAATTGTATATGTCTGCTTGGGTGCATAAAGAATTCTGACGCAATCAGTCCAATTACCTCTGTGGCACCGATCAAAAAACTGGTCACCCCCGGAACTGACTGTCCCCTTAAATCACATCGGATTGTCTTACGCTGTACCGACTGAAGCGAATAAAAGAAATGTTACCGCTTTACAGCATTGATCTACTTTCTGTTCTAACAATCTTCATCATTTGCTCGATTTACAATAAAGTGCAAAGCACTGTGCTCATAATAACTAGTTATTAGAACTGTGGCCGGGGTGAGTCAGCTCATTTGGGCATCAGTACGAAATTCTGGGAAAAGTGAAGTGCGAAAGAAAACCCCTTTTAAGTTTTCCAATAGAATTACAAAATTACCGGGAATATGAAGCCGTTAGACAGCCTTGGGTGGTTATTGAAAACTGCTTTGGACTAACTGTCCTTGAAACTTTACTGTCACGCATAATTCTGAGTTAAATTTGGTCAACCATACACTGGGAGGCACTGTACTAGAGTTTCACTTGCACACTGTCCCACTTGGGCCATATCCCGTTTGAATCCTACCACCAATTCATGTTTGTCCAGAATTCGTCTATCGCGAAAGTCAGTCAGTTCATTTTTGGCCGGACAGCAGCAAAGGGATACTCAGTGGAATATCTGTTAACTTCAATTAAAAGCCCCCCCCAGCACTCGGAGCTGCCAAATCAGGACCTCAGTGTGGGTTTAAGTTGACTTGCATAAAACCTAGCGGGTTTGCAACAAAATGTCGTCTACCTTACCAACATAAAATCCACAGCAACATTGAGATTCCAACATGTCTATTGGCAATATTACCCCTAAGAGCCTCAGTATGGTCGGGGGTGGGTGTCTAGGGCTGTGGCTGGTCACCCTGTCCTTAAATCTCGCGAAATGCTCCCATACGAGCAGGCATCTCAAATGGCCTCTGCTGAGGAAGTCCTACTTACTGCCTTCTTGTGGCGGAGGTGAGAGATGGAAGTGAGAGGACGAAAAGCCGACATCAGGGACTATAACCGGTAGTAGTTTATCTAGGGGAGTTGGCTAAAACCTCTTATTCCAAACCAACAATGAGGAGGTGTATGAACCACACATCTCCCTGGTTATGTCAATGGTCACCGGCTCGATTGGGCAACAAGTTTTACGCCGTCCGAAAGGCGAATGATCCGATAAACAGGACGCCGGATCCCAATGGACTGCGGTTATCACACACCACTCGGCTGCTTTGCGGGTCAGGTTCTGGCTAGCCGAAGGCTTCGGTTGTGGATTCCTCAAGATAATGCACCTGCCGTGGCCTGGGGTAACTTGGCAGTATTCATCCCACAAGTCAATCATGGAACGTTTTTCTTTTTTATAAAGATTATTCTATTACGATTTATTTGTCACACAGTCTGGCCTAAGAAGTGGCAAAATTCTTAGATCTGAGAGTGGGACAACTCCATAACGATGGGTAAACAAAGGTTCGGTTCAAAAATTAGGATGGCCAGTTCTACTGTCTGNAACGACACTGTGTGCATTCCAAAACGGGGGATTTACGCCAAAGAAAATCATGTGAAGTTGGAAGTAGATTCACGTGCACAGATGTACGAATTTTGGTCATTCTTACACCATTTCTGTCATTTTTGCAAGCAATTACGTTATTCTGTGAAAAAGTTCTCTTTATCAGGATGCGGATCTCTGAGAGTACTTTGGAAATCGTATATTCATTCTCTTTCGGATGTGTGTCCATAATAGAGTCCACGAGTGTTTCCCTGGTGATATCTCTGCATTTAATGATGCCCCCTAGGGAAATTCATATCAAGTCAAGTTAAGGAACTCTCTATGCACCCAAATGATAAAGTTTCAGCAACTTACGAAGTTGCGCATTGTATGAGAAAAATTAAGATCAATAAAAAATCTCATACGGAAGTATAATTAAACAAAAAAGAACATTTTTTGCGAAGTCTTTGCCTAAGGTGGGAGAAAATTGTCTGGCGAGTACGAATAGCCGAGCGAGGTATGGAATTACTCTGTTCCTGTAGGTGGAAGCACACTCGGAAAGAAGTTGACATTTGGAGCCATTTTGTGCAACGTCTCGTTCCCCGAGCATATGGACATAAAAGGACTGACTGCCTTCGAATTTCGGTACAAGTTCTAATGATATGAGCAGACCGATTTGGGGATGTTTTGATTAGTAACTACAAGGTGAGAAAGACTACTTTCTAATGGGCAGTCATTTTTAAGACTAAAGAGAACATCATTACACTGACTGATATTAAGTACAAGAGATCGGGAGATAAACCAATTCTCAATCACACTGAGGCCATCCTGTAGAGGAGAAAACTTAGGTGTATTTTCGGGATGGACACCCAATCACAATATGACGAGAATAGTTGTGAACAATAAAGTTACTTGGACTCGCGATAGTCTGTATGTTTATTAGGAAAGAAAGGTGACAAAATAGCACCGTGAAAAACACGAGAATCATGAGTTATGGAAGACGACTGTACGTTACTAAATGAATTGGATCGTACGGGAGGAATGGTTGATTAAAACATTCAGGTTACACTCAGTAAAATGTCTAATACACTCTCTTCGGTTGACATGATCGAAAGTATTGGATGCAACAGATTTAAAGCCAAATGTTTCTTTCAGCAAATAAAAGGAAATCACTGGGAAGAGGATGCATGTATTCATAAACATAATAATCAACTTGTGGAGATATAATGTGATCAAAAATAGATAGACCAATTGCAAGTTCGACCATAGAGAGTTACCGGAGTAAGATAACGATAAACCGGCCAATTGTGCTGGGTTGCTTCCTGTTTTTGTTTACTTGAGGTTTGTTCTTGACCTCCCGGTTGATGGTTAGTTAAAAAAACTCATCCTCAGTGCTCAGATAACAAAGAGATCTGCAATCAATTCTTTTTCTAAGATGCTGTGATGTTGCAAGCAAAAACATCCATTGCTACTTTGTTCACTGTCAAATAAGACGTCGTACCATGGTGAATGGAATAATGTGATTTTGGATATTACAGAGTAGAAACCAAACTAATTGATCAATCATTATTAAACAGCGTCTAATCAAAAGATTTAGATGCTGTGACTGCGGGCTCTGTATGATCCCAAAACATCTGGTTCCAAACACAGCTTCATTTTATGTCCAAACTACCTAGATTCTCTCAAAACGTTTTATTTCTTGATTTGTCTATCTCTGGGACGGACCAGTTTCAAATCTGTATGTTTGTTTTATTCTCTATATTTCGTACTGTTTATCCGGGTGACCCAATTGGCACTTAGACTGACCATTATGTGCAGCTTACCGTCAGAAATTTCATCTACCTATACTCTCCACACAGGATCATTAAGCCGTGGGTACTTGGAGAGGAGAGCAATACATCTGGTCCACAAAAACAACGACAACAAGAACATTTGAAAGCGTGTGGCAAAAGTTTCAAATGGGTAATGGAAGTTGGGATTATGGACAATAATTTCATCTTCATCATTCAAAAGTTAATAAATATCTCGAAGTAATTGAGATTTTCTTTGATTTTAAATATATAGTAACATCAATGAATACGTTATGTTTATTGGCTCATTGTACGTGTTTGGACCTTAATGTGTAAGTGTCAGCCATTTGGAATTTATCTTATTCTGAGTGGTGAGCGGGCGGTACAGGTCCCGCCACCACCGTCTCACTTACCCAGTTCTCTGTGTGATATGCGGCAGTCCTTTGATTGGTCTCTGTCCTCTTCCGGATTTCAACGCATTCATATTCGATGAAACATCCTTTACTCGTGATCCATTTCATCCACAAAATAAGATGTATGTAGGCAGATTTGCTATTGGCCATCAATTTTGTGTGCCATCATTCAACTCGACGAGCCGGTCTATATAATCGTATCAACCAAAAAAAAACACGGGCGTTGAATTGAGTCACTGGAACAAGGTAGTGCTGGTGGTGGTGATTGTGGACAAATGAGTGTTGTGATTTTGGTCTGGGATCTGGGCCGAGAAGACGTTAATTTTAACTCCAACTGTACCTGCTGATTTTAGTGTACCGGCGGTCAGAGGCACATCGGAAAGACAGAATGGCGTCCATTAAACGAAATGAGTGAACATGTCCCGAAACACCGTGGTCTTCCCGGGGAAGAAACTACCATCCAGTGTTATTACACCGGAATTTGTTAGACTTTGGTCCCCTTGTGGACACGCCCAAAGCTTCTCTTCACAAGACCTTGAAGATCACAAAGTTTGCCATTTTGAGAAGCTACAATTTTTCACTGTTCCAAATCGCAACTGTGTTTTCCAGATCATTTGCGATGCAACTATTCTTTGCTCCAGCTGCTTCCACCCCATTCAGCACGTGATTTGAACCCGGTTCAATTCCATATCATTTTTTGTTATCTACCCTAAGTTAACCTCAACCCGAACAACCTAGTTCAGCTGTCCAATTGTTCCACCACACAGAAGTGGATCAAGTCTTTCCGTTCCTTTTTTGCACATGTTTTATTCAATATATATTCATTATATATATGTATATATCCATATATGACGTATTTTTGAGTTATTCGAACATCAACTAACAATCATCTTGTTAGAGTACGTTTATGTAATCAGTCTTAGACCAAGCGATGGAAACTAATCATTGGTTTACATGAGATTTAAAAGTGGTAAAAAAGTTAGTCTGTGTTTACATAACATAGACATCGGACATTTGGGTAACAACGTAATGTAATGCAATATAATCACCCCCCGTTAACTAACGGTAACCCCACCGCACTGAATCTGAGATGTGCGAACTCTTATTCCGAAGATCTTGCTGCCAAACTGCACCGAGACAATTTGTGTCAAAGGTAGTGGAACAATTCGAGTACGTTTTCCCATGTTTCATGTTTATATTGAAATTTCGTTTTGGCTGGACGATTCTTGTATATGTTAATGATATCCCGTTTCGTGTGTACACGTCCACTTTCCAAGCGGAAGTTCTGTGTCGAATCGTGGACAACGATTGTTCGACAGAGACAATGTGTTCGGGACACTGGTGAAATGCACAATCAGATGCGTATTGTCTGATGATTAAAATACGTTTTCAACGGGGTGGCTGTTTCACATCGTGTCTGATGCAGTTCGGCACTAATTGCACACTTCGTACAAAATGTGATATTCCGCACGGCTAGAACTGTCGCGTTAAGTCAGTCACAACACACTGCCAGACAATGACGTTCTGGGCCTATCTCTGATGGTTGTCGATACTTCTTTTACGGATTGTCCGGTTTACTCTAATCGGCTGCTTCCGGCGTTTCTGTGGACGTCTACTCCTCCGTATACTGTGTCCGGTTCACGTGCTCTGTCCCACCCTGTGGCTGTCCACGGGTTCGTTTTTTTTACAATATTTCATACAATTGGGGTATTTGACAATTGTCTATTCATAGTATACACAGGATTGGACAATAAAACCGTCTCTGTATTAAAATCTGTAAATGAATATTTTCCTAACTGAAACCAAGAGAAGATTAATGCCCTTTATTTTTGACGGCAAACCTGATCGTGTGATAACAGGACCGGATAGAGAGTTCGTGTTGTGCCTTTTGAACATTTACTAACAGGTGACGGAATTCGTATGGAAAAAAACAAGCGAAAATGTAAGTGCCATGCAGAGCGAATAAACAGTTCGTAAACTCACAAAATTCAAAAATGGGCGAAGCTTCCTGACTTTGTGAAAATACTTAGTTCTATTTCAGTTCGCCAGTTTGAAGTTGTGCGATTTAGGTTCCGTAATCGAGTCGGTCAGTGTGGAACGCTTTCGTTCTCTCTTTCTCATGCTGTTTAGCGTTCAGTTGAACCTGGCCAAATTTAAGCCCCTGAGGTACCTACTGAATCCGGCTGATGACACGTAGTATGTATGTCCATAGAACTATCGAATATGTTTCGGTGCCAAAGAGGGATTGAACACCCGCTGCGGTTCGCAATTGAGGATGAAACTGAATTGCCGACAGTCGCACAGTTCAAGCTCTCCCATATCACAAGAGCTCAGTAGAAAGTTACCGCGTTCGGAATAGTTGTTCCATCTGAATCCGAACAATAGCACTAATGCATACGACGTTCGAAATTGGCCAACGAGAAAAAGGACTTTTCATTTTGATCAAGCGTTTAATGCCACATGAAGGTTGTGGATTTTGTTAACCCTCAACTATCAACACAATGGTACAAAAAGAAATCACTAATTATTGCTGGTTATTATCTGATATTTCTTAGTGTATTTTGTTTTGTTTTTTTCACTTGAGCATCGATGTTTTGTAAAAATATAGGTTTGTACAAGAGTCCAGAAAATTAAAGCTGCTGTACACATAATCGTTTTAAATTACTATACCTGAATTATACGATTGGTCCATGCATGTTTTAATCGGTATTTGGAAGCATCTCAAAAGGAGATACAATCTATATCTATATCTTTTGATTCATTTTTCTTTTTTTCTGAACTTGGGGAACGGTGGATGGGCGTCGGGGTGGGGTGGAGAATTGGTATATCTCACCTGAACGGTGATGAAGGACATTAAGATGTTTGTCACTTGTATCAGCTAGACTCCATGACTGCCCCGGGTATGAATGATCAAATAGGTGACGAATTGGTCCACGAAATAACATGACTACATCAAAGCCTCCGGTTGCCCACACAAGCACACACACACAAGTTTGAACCCGACCGAGACAGATGAAATAGAAATTCGCCATGTGGAATGAATACATGAACAAATGGAAGAATAACAACAGTCCTTTTATTACCATGGAAACGGTCATTGTATTGGCGAGTGTACCAGTGTTGAACAAAACAATCAGACCAATAGTTTGCCCCGATGCAAACGTGAACGTCGTTTTCTCTCTCTGTGTGTAGGTGTTTTCATGTGTGGCTACCACAGCCGTCTGTGGGTACTCACCTAACTGGTCTGACGTGGGAAATTTTGTTATCACATCCGTCTCTAACAGAAGGTTGTACTGTTCAGATCGCCGGCTCACGGTAGAAACACCGGATGGCTGGACGCAAACCAGCGCCGAAAAAGAGGGAGGTTAAATCAGATTCTGAAGACGATGACGACGATGAGGACGAGAGTTCAGAAGATGATGATGACGACAACGATGATGAGAGTGAGGAGGACTCCGAAGAAGAATCGGAGGAAGAGGATTCCGAGGAAGAAAGTGAAGAAGAACCTGTGAAGAAGCCATCAAGAGGAGCATCAGCTGAATCAAAAGGAAATCGTAAAAAGTCTTTGATCAAACAACCTCAGAAGGCAAGCACTTCAAATGTAAGTAAATGTAAATTACAAAAGAATGTTGTCTACTCATTGGCGATAGGAAAGGAAAAATTCCAAACCGACTGACGAAGAATTCGCAAAACAGTCCGACTTGAATGCAGTCAAGGATACACTGCGAGGGTTGACGGAGGAAAAGCTGCCAGCCATGGAGCAATCATTGAGGGATATTAAATTATTGATGGACCAGATTAATTCCAAATTGAATGAGAAGCAGGATGAGGATTTGACAAACACGACTACGGAACCGAAACGCTCTGAACCAGATGTAGAACAAAAATCACCGAATGACTCAAGTNTGAGGTGAATCAGACCAATCCGAACGCATCCTTACTCCACGAGGTTTGTGCTACACAAAAAGAACACTCGCGTATTCTGGAAACACTGGTGAAATTTATGGAAGAATATAAAGAAGCGCACAAACCGGGCGGGCAACCGTATCAGGCCGGTGGAACAGCCTTGCAATTAACCTATCCTACCTCTATTCACACGACCGGTGAGTCATACCAAACGGGTTTAGCCATAGTGAGTCTCAATAAAAAAAATTGTATGGCTATATTTACTATACACCGAATTACAGATCCCCGGGACCTGACTGTGGGTATCTTGTTGGCGTGTTTGAATGTCATCGTTTCAAAATGTTTTTTCTTTTTTATAAGATGCAAACTCTCCTGATGAGATTTATTAGTATACGCATATAAGTGAACAATTGTCACTGGAGAGCGCATCACTTAGTAATCGGATATTGTACTGCATCCGATGTTCCTATCGGTTTTCAAAGTTTTATCGATTTTTTCCCTGACCATTGTGTGAAAGTCATTCAGCCTATTCACTGTCCTTATGATGAAATAGATTAACAGAACCAACATGCTGTTACACGACACTGTAATCCATTAGACGTGGACCAGACAGCCGGAAGGCAACATGGGACAGTCTATAAATGACTGAACACGTGACCACAATCTAGAGCTAAAAAGAAATGCACCGAATTACTCATTGAAATTCAACGTCAGGGAAAAGAGATATTTCGAATCGGGAGCAATAAGCGAACTTTGGCGTTAAGAGCGTGAAAACCCTCCCGCGGTGGTAAACGTTCCATTATATTGCACCATACTGAGTGTGAGATGGAATTCATGACTGAAAATTTCTGACGGTGTCAAGTTGTAAATGAGGTTAAAAATAGCAGTTTTAGAGAGAATTGTATAAATTTGATCTATTGTGGTTTCTTTGTTCCTCGCAAGTAACAATTTACTTCTGTGTTACTATTCGAATATTTACAGTGATGCATTAAGCTCGATTTTGTGAATCACTGCAGACGAACCAGTCAACTACGTGAACTAATTTACAACTTTTAGGCGCCAATCGCGCATCGATTTTCACGACGGTTCCGACGAAACCTCATTTAGGGTTACTCAGTTCTCTTTGCGTACCATAATGAATGAATTCAAAGATTCGCGGGTTTATTTCTTAGTTCGTCTCTCAACGCTAATCCAGTGTATTCTAACTCGGTTATAATCAACATATATGGAGGGTTTCATTTACACACACAAAGGTAATCATCCACACAGTCACAAAAGATGCAGTACGAATGAACCTTGTTCGGAAGAATCCAAACGCACTGTAGCACCGATTTACTCAAGAAGACAGATACCTTCTCACAATCACAACGGCTACACCCGCAACATCATCAAATCAAATCTGGCTCAAAGAAATGAGGAAACAACTAACGGAGAGTCGGGAACAAGACCGATCCTGCCGCACATCAAAGACGTTTCGGAAATGATAGAAAGACCGCTCAGATCATATGGAATCCAAGTCGCGCACAAACCGATCGCCTGTTTAAGAAGCCTTCTGTCAAAAACAAAAGAGAGAACAATGGAGAAGGACAAGAGCAGTGTTATCTGCAAAATAAACTGCAAGAACTGCCCAAAGCACTATATCGCACAAACTGGAAGAAAACTTCGAACGGGTAAATCGGGCTGGATCACGTGCACACAACAATGCAACTCAAGGATCAAATGACGCAACCGAAAACAGATCACACCGTCACCGGAAAACGGACCGAAGCCACAATCAGGGCGAAAAGATAACTCCTATGCTCTCCGTCTCCCCCCTCTTCGCATCAGCTCAGCGGAGAATCGAGTTGAACATGGTGAGTACAAAGGACAAAAATAGTGTCGATGGAGAAGACTGCATGCACAAACGTATGGATACATATAGAACACTGATACTTCACAAGCACCGGTGATGATGTCACCTCGGCTGGTGCGATGAAATGTTTGCAAACAAATTGCCAATTGCTGGGGGTGAACCGGTGAAATAGAAATGGCTAATCATGGATGTCTTAGTACGGAGGAATTCGGTATTTGCTGGCAGTAACCTTCATGTGGACTAGTTAATAGTGAATCTACTCGCTTGAAAGAGATGAATGAAACGGATCGTTTCAGAACTGTTATAAATGTTCTAACACCATCAATCTGTCCATTGGACCAGTTGACAAGCATACTTAGCTATTGCCGTTGATTAAATATAATCAGCTCACATTTTTCATCAAATACCCACTGCCGGTGAATTGTTTGCAATAACATCCACGAGTCGCGATCAAGACTTGAGGAACTTGCTTTAGCTATCACTGCCGTTTAGCAATACGTACATCTGGATGTCCTGACTAGAAAAAAATTATCTTCTCAAATGATTCAGAGTTCTACGCGAAACTGCTTTATCGATCATTTTGCATTAGTTAATCAAAAGATTTGTATGAAATATGAGCAATAATGTACCATTTGTTTTCCTAATACTAACTCGTTGAAACAACTGAACCATGCTGTAAGGTATTTTGTGAAATTGAAAAACATAGATCCCACGGAAAATGTCTTGTAGTATTTGACTAGACGAGATGAGATATTCCTGAGCAATGCTTACGCTCCGATTATCCCTTAAACTTTGCATTTTTGCTCAACAAAATTGCATGAACATATAAAACAAAAAAGCATTTTGAAACGCCTCAAACCTTCTCGGTTTCTCGGTTTTTGATTCCCGACACACGTGAACGTGCGCAAAAATTCTTCTGTTTCCATAGGAACACAAATGTCCTCATCACGATTATAGAAACTGACTAAAGTGAGACATAAAGTAGACTACCAGAAAAAAGAATCATTAAAGCATCAAATAGGTCGAGAAAACTTCCCAAAAATGTCCAACTTAGCTGGTCGAAATTCGCATCAAGGGGAGCAACCTTGGTAACACGAAAAAAAACCCAGGGAAACCTGGGGCGAACAGTGGAGTTGAACGAGAAACATACATCTCGAAGGGAAATAGAACAATACGGATAGGATACGAGAACACTACTCAACTTGATGCGAAGCCAGTCGCTGCCCAGAAACAGGAACACTTTCGAACCATATTAGAAAGGTTTTCGAAATAAACGATGGTCGAAAAAAAACACATTTTTGAATAAAAAAACCGCCACGAGTTATCATCGTTTTGCTTCAGATGATTTGAATTCATTAAACCGTATGTCCACCACTATATGGATAGATAATTCGTATTGCAGGGATGGATTCCTAAATCGTCACAACAATGAGTAAAATAAAATTAACGAGACGAACAAAAAGTAGGCTTTGAGAGGGAGTAGAACATGTTCAACTGTTGAATTCATCTTCCATTTTTACAGGTTGAAACCAGATTACATTTAAAACATTTTGGAATCAAGTGATATAAAGATGATGAAGCGTCGTTCCCCCATTTGAGGCTGAATACATTTAGCGAATACAACAAGGTCCTAAAGATAGAAAAATAGGAATGCATGTCCAAAATGTTCACTGCACTGCAAAACCGTTTTGATGTACTCCATTTTTTTCATTCAACAATGGTTTGCAATCTCAGTGGGACAGAGGTCAAGTGTACATATTTCTTGTTCATCCAAGAGAAGAGCATTTCAGCCAGAAATAAACGAAATTAAAGAATCTCAAGGATTGTGGTGATGATGGTGGTCACAAAGTTGACGACATCCACTCATCACTTTGAATGATCTGTTTCCGCGTAATCCGTGTGCTGAAAAACAGCTCTTTGACTGTCGGCTTCCAATTTGCCCGAGCATCGTTTATATGATTATATCTCCCAATAAAGAGAAGTTATAAGAAGTTATAAGTTATAAGCAGTAAGCAAAGCTGCCCTCAATGGAAAACAGAATAGCATCTCCTTATCCCATTTGGCCTGAATTGGTCAAGAACTTGGATGAACAGCGTGTCTCCGTTAAAACAAACGATTGATGCACATTGACCAAATGATGAAGCCCCAACTCTCGCGGGAGAGATTATTTTTTTAAAAAAGAATTCGAACAGTAAGAAAGCATTGTTTGGATAGGATTGTTCAAAGGAACAGAGAACAGGTTGAATCTCACGGCCGGTGGAAGAAACATGTGGCTTCGAGCATGCATTTTGCTCTTATTACCAAACCATTTTGTGCAACACCGAAAACGTTTCCTTCTAGCTTGATAGTCGTTTGTCACTATATACCTTAAAGGCAGACAACACCGACAAAACTAACCACATATAGGTAGCACCAGTAATTCCATTCTCTTAGGAAAGAGTGGAGTGATTGTATCTACAGTTAATGGATAATCACTGAGATAGAACATATTTCAGTTGTTCATAGGAAAAATGATAGATAGTTATATGTGATTTGAAACCTCTGTTCTATTCATTTATGAGCCTACTCTTTTGAGTGGTTTCCGTTTCGAAACGTCATCTGTTTACCCTTTGCGAGGATAATCAGCCCTTGGAGTCGGACTCGCCCGCGGCGATACGGGAGACACTGGTTACTCACTATTGTGTGCATGCACACAGTTGCCTATGAAAGTACCTGAATGGAATTTGATTTTGAACCTTTTTCAAGACTTATGCCGTCTTCTAAGGTTGTTTAGCTTTCCAGCTAAGATACGTGTATTTTGTATCCTCGAAATCAAACGTTTTCCTCGAAAGTGGAATGTTTCTATTCACGATCATTCACATGACGGTCTATGAACAGATTTTATGTGGAAGTTACTTGTACTTGAGTTTTGAAACTCCCCGATGTGAGGTGCTTCTCTACTACACAATGTGCAAAACATTTCAGCCCAAATTATGAGATGAATTTGTTTATTCCTGGTAATTTTAGTTTCCATATCCATATTCATGCACACACACACAGAGAGAGATACACATCGATTTATGTAGAACATTCTGATTGGAAAGATTTTTACTAGCTGAGCCCCGTAGCACTCCAACAAGACAATAGGCAAAAAAACTGAATTCATAATGAAACTTTCCCAATGGGTAGTTTACAAAACTGCCACTCACTGAATCCCACCGGATCTTTACCCACCCACTAACTAGCTTTCGCACACATTAAATAATCACTATCCACGTAGACTGACAGGTGCTGAACATTCACGTATTTNACGTATTTATTGCTTCAATCAGCCCCAGTGGTTGGAGCAAAATACCTGGAACGAAAGAGGGAGAGTTCCGTGTAGTCTAGCCGAGGTGTCTGATGTACCAGTTTAAACGGATGTCCTCATAAATGTGTGTTTTAGGACTTCCGAGTGAGAACCAACGAATGAGCTTAACCCGGCGGTTAAATAGAAGCTCCTTCTTTTCTCGTCTGATTGGGTTCGTGTGGTGGTTAAAGACACCGATATATACAGATCCGCGTGTAAAATGTCACATGATAGGGGATTCTTTCATTGCTGCACGCAGCTTCACTTGCCTTGAAGTGTAAGGTGTGATGCTGCTGCTGTCTCATCGAGTCTTAGTTTGAAAGAATCAATGCTTGGTGCATTTGAATCGGCATTTTGAGATCACTAGCTTGAACAGATGTCCTCTAATATGAACGCTGGGTGATAATTTCAGAACCGGGTGACACGGATAGATTGTGTTTTGCATTATTTGGTATAACATAATCATATCTCTTCTCATGCACCGGTAGTGACTGGAATATAACCCCGGCGACTTCAAATGGGTAATCGGCATACAGTAACCGGAACCGCTCCCGGATAATGCAGGCCGGACAGCTATATGAACCATAAGAGCGTAGTAAGTATAATCGAAAGGCAAAACGAGAGAAAATAGTCACGGCGTCCTACCGAGGACGTGCGTTTGATGGGGACTCCATTCATAATCTCCTTGCCTATCATTAAAAAGTTCAAAAGTGATGATGGTTTGGTCAGTTCCATTCCAGGCGGCATTTTTTGAACGATAAAATTGAGCCAAAGTCAAAGTGAAAGTTTTATCACGGGTAGCACCTGCAAATAGATATTCTTCTTGTCTCATAGGGTGTTTATACTAATTGACCTGCAATAATGATTAACGAAATTCCATATGCTGTTTTCGGTTGTGTTATGTGTGCTCATGGATGTTGGAATGTTGTGTGTTAATGAATCGTCAAATTTTACCTTGAAAAAAATAATTCTGCCCGCACAAACGACATGAGATGTTAAGGGATTCCAAACAGTGTACACTCTGACGGCGAACGCATGACTTCGACAGTCCACTCAACATTTTGGATTGGAAACTTGCATGGATGTCCCCGTAACTGAGCGTTTGATGACAACGACAAAAGTGGGCGACAAGTGTGGTTTTGGTTGTGTATATTTTCAGCAAATCAGACTGGTTGTGGTTTTGGTTTGCTTTTAGTTTGAAGAGAAACAAAGTAATCCATTACATGGACAATTATTAACTTTACTGAAGGAACGAAATCTCGCTGTCAGCAACAGAGTCCGGTTGGTTGAGCCGGAATGTGTAGAGGCGTGACAGATTGTTCCAATCACCATGTTTGAACAGACTCGTTGACGACTGATATCAAGTGCTTCACGTAGAGAAATGCTGTCCATCTATAGCAGCACATCGCCACTTTGTGTAGAACGATCACGTTTGAACAGAGACAGTCTGGTTAAGCACATGTTATAGTGAAGAATATCGATCAATAAACACGTTTCAAAAACGAGAACAATATTCCGCTGGGTAATTCGTAAGCGCAGACGCATTTTAAAACATCACCAGAGAAGCACTTTTAGTTTGATGTAACTCCGGGCCGATTTTCGGTTTAAAAATCAGTTTGCGAAGGCATTTGGGTATTTTCGCCCACGACTCTGTGTGGTCAGCTAAAAAACTATTCAGATGAAGGAATTACGTTAATTTTCACTGGCAAATGAGGAGTGAGAGGAGTGGTAATTTGTTACCATCGTTTTCCGTCNGTGTATATCATTTAGCCGCAATGTTCAGCTAGTGTTCGAACCCCGATTCTAGTGATTTTTGTCTTCAATTTTGATACGAGACGTGCAACATCTACGTGACTGTTCCTGGAGCATTGTAGAGTAACTCATCCTCAGGTCAATTCAAACGTAGTCCCATACGGGAGCTGATTGCTGAACGGGAGAACATTGTGAAACTCGATTAGATCTGTCATGCCTCCCCGTTCTTTTCAGACGAGTGATATACTTGTAGAATCATCTGAATTGTCTCAACTAGGAATTCAATCAATCAAGATAACCAATTCGTTTATCAGGTTCAGTTGTCTCCACCCTCCCGTTCCCCTGCCATCCCGGCCGCCTCGTTCGCAATCACTCCGAAATTGCTTTTGATTTACTCGG